GGTCTAAATGAGAACTAAACCAGGACCAAACCAGAACTAATCCAGGACTAAACCAGGACTAAACTAGGACTAAACTGGACTAAGCCAAGACTAAACAAGGACCAAGACAGGACTAAACCAGGACTAAAACAGGACAGAACTGGACTAAACCAGGACTAAACCAGGACTAAACCAAGACTAAACCAGGACTAAACCAGAACTAAACCAGGACTAAAAAAGAACTAATCCAGGACTAAATCAGGAATAAACAAGGACTAATCCAGGACTGAACTAGGACTAAGCAAGATCTAAACCAAAACTAAACCAGGACTAAACCAAAACTAAACCAGGACTAAACCAGGACTAATCTGGTTTCCGATCCTTTTGACAGCTGCAGTGAGAACACAAAGTCCAAAGATCTTCACAAAATTGATTCTTTATTGCATTTGGGTTCACACTAAATGTCAGCATATTTGACAATATTTGAGAACACAAGTGAGCACAGATAACCGTGTCCCATCTGCACGGCACGCTCTGTGTTTTCATCAAAGTTCTAGATTTCTGACTTTTTAATGACCAAATAGGGACAAGGCAACATGCAGAGCAGCAGCAGCAGCACGAGTAGAACATTCACACAGGAGTTGGATCAGAGGTAGAGAGAAACCGGGGCTTCGTCTGAGAGCCAATCTGAACAAAAAATCAACTTAAAGGACCCATATTATGCTATTTTTCTGCAAGATTACTCAAAAAAAAAACACAACTCCAGGTCTGTTTTTGAGGAGGTACAGACATTATAACACGACTTAAAGCTCACAAGAGTTATTTTTGTGGAATATAGGCCCTTTAAGTTGGAACTGGTGTATGAGCTGCTGGTGAACACTAGAGGGCGCCCCAAGTCCAAATATAACATGTTTTTTTTTTTTTTTCAGTGAAGAAGTTCAAAATAAAAGTACTCGAGCTGAACTATAAATATGTAATAATGTATTTTAGTTCCAACCAAACTACACACAAACACAACACAAGTGTAATAGTGAACAACAAAATGAACAAAATACAGTCCAGGCTGAGAGCTACCAGTGGAACTAAACCAGGACTAAACCAGGTCTAAACCAGGTCTAAACCAGGTCTAAACCAGGTCTAAACCAGGACTAAACCAGGTCTAAACCAGGACTAAACCAGGTCTAAACCAGGACTAAACCAGGACTAACCAGGTCTAAACCAGGTCTAAACCAGGTCTAAACCAGGTCTAAACCAGGATTAAACCAGGACTAAACCAGGTCTAAACCAGGACTAAACCAGGACTAAAACCAGGATTAAACCAGACTAAACCAGGATTAAACCAGGACTAAACCAGGACTAAACCAGGACTAAACCAGAACTAAACCAGGACTAAACCAGGACTAAACCAGGATTAAACCAGGACTAAACCAGAACTAAACCAGGACTAAACCAGAACTAAACCAGGATTAAACAAGGACTAAACCAGGATTAAATCAGGACTAAACCAGGACTAAACAAGGACTAAACCAGAACTAAACCAGGACTAAACCAGGACTAAACCAGAACTAAACCAGAGACTAAACCAGAACTAAACCAGGACTAAACCAGAACTAAACCAGGACTTAAACCAGAACTAAACCAGAACTAAACAGGACTAAACCAGGACTAAACCAGAACTAAACCAGGAACTAAACCAGAACTAAACAGGACTAAACCAGAACTAAACCAGGATTAAACCAGGACTAAACCAGAACTAAACCAGGACTAAACCAGAACTAAACAGGACTAAACCAGGACTAAACCAGAACTAAACCAGGACTAAACCAGGTCTAAACCAGGACTAAGCAAGGTCTAAATGAGAACTAAACCAGGACTGAACCAGGACTAAACCAGGACTGAGCAATGTCTAAATGAGAACTAAACCAGGACTAAACCAGGCCTGAACCAGGACTAAACCAGGACTGAGCAATGTCTAAATGAGAACTAAACCAGGACTAAATCAAGACTGAGCAAGGTTTAAATCAGAGGACTAAACTGGGACTAGTGCAGGACTAAGCAAGGTCTAAACCAGGACTAAACCAGGATTAAGCAGGGTCTAAACCAGGACTAAACCAGTGCTGAACCAAGCCAAGTCTAAATCAAAACTAAATCAAGTCAAGAATAGGTCACAGACTAAACCAGAACTAAACCTGGACTAAACTGAGTCAGTGAGTCACAGAATGAATCAGGACTAAAGCAGCACTAACACTGGACTCAAACCGATGGATTAAACCAGAACTAAACCTGGACTAAACCTGGACCAGGACTAATTCACTGTCTGGAGACGACAATGAGAGCAGAGACGCACCGCTTCATCTTTTTCAGTTCCGATACTGATATCAATTCTATGGCTTTAAGTACCTGCCGATACCGGATATTAATCGATATCAGCGTAGGAATTTAAATTTAAACTTTTTCTCTCAAAACACAGTTACCAAACTTGCTCCAACTGTTATGCAGCTTCTTTCTCCTGCAGGAAGCTACAGAACAGCTCTGTATGAATTCAAGTTCAAACATTATGAGACATGAGTCAGTAAAGTGTCTCATTACCTCCAGTTAAAGGTCCAACCAGGGTATCGGCTCAACGGATATCACAGAATGATACCCGATCCAGTAAAGTTCCCAGGATTGGCACGGATATTTGACACTATTATCGGTATCGGTGCATCCCAAATTGAGATCCCATTTGAGATTCTTTGACATTATTTAACCAAGTCTAACCCGGGAGCATCGGAAAAGAGAGATTGCTGCATCCTTTTTCTTAAATTCAGTGAGAGAGACACCAGGTCTCCTCTTCTAGATAACAGATCGTTTTGCCATCGTTCATATTCAGCGTTTAGGGGGAGACGGTTTTTCTCCCGTCTGAATTTACAAAAGAGTAGATGGAAGAAAGATGGAGGAGTGAGGCATGACCTGATTTGTTAAGCGAGCTGCAGTCTTAGTAAACAGTCCCAGCTGGCCACAGGTCCAGGCGCTCGTGGTCCAGAAGAGTGTTGGTGTTTGTGCCCTGGAGATGTCGGAGCATACGAAACCAAACCTGGACTAAACCAAAACACCACGTATTTTAAAAACACAATGTAAACACAGCTATTCAGTAAACCCTGTCCAGCAGACGGGGGCGCCAGAGAGCTGCTTTAAAGTGCCTTCTAAAAATTAAAGGGGATGTAACAATATCCAAGTCTCACTGTAATGTGCTTATAATACTTGTAACTGGAACAGGCTCCTGCTCTTCACCTGAAATACAGACATCACCGGCTTCTAAAACGTAAACACAACCTTTAGTCAAAAACATCAGATTGAAAAGTGTTTAAATCCCTCAGTTGTTCATGGCAAAAAGAAATCTTCAAATTGTCAACTGGACAAAACTTTATTTTGGTCCAAGCTGCTCTGTTCTGACGCTGGTGGACACTTCCTTACTGAAGGGAGGAGCTAACTACACTGAAACTCCTCTGAAACAAACACACCTACTAGTTTAGTTAGGTAGGCCCATTAAACTTGCTCTGACTATCTCTAATATTTTCTTTGTTTGTTTTGATTTAGGGTTGAGGATGGAGTTGTAATTAGGAGACAAATGATGTCTGAGGGCTCCATTTCTGTTCAAGGATGGATTCTCTTTCAACAAAAATAGTTTCTTTACCTCCCCTTTCAAACCAATTCTTTTCTCTAGCTCAGATCTGCAACTCACTATCCTCAAAGGAGTGGCCCGAGGCTTTTAGGTGAAGATATATGTCAGACTGAGGTCCTTTTAGGTGGAGATGTACAGCAGACTGAGGTCCCATATTGCTCTCTCATCTGTGTTGGCATATCCTCTTTTGAAGTGGCTGTTTTAGGGAGAGCCAGGTCAGGTCAGGCCCAGAGGTGTGAAAGCAACCTCCAGGGGCCTGAATGATTCTACTTATATGACCCCACACTCAGTACAAATGAATAGGCCAAGCTAACAAACAGAAAGTGTAAAAGTAGGTGTGTTAGTTTCAGAGTAGTTTCAGTGTAGTTAGCTCCTCCCTTCAGGTAGATATAAGGAAATGTCCACCAGCGTCTAACCGGAACTGAAGAAGCAGCTTGGATGATTTGCGAAACGTTTTTGACCAAATAAACTTTTGTCCAGCTGACAAACTGAATTTCTCCTTTTACCATGTTTAAATGGAGCAAAGGATTCTGGGCTATGTAGTTCAGTCTGCATCTTAGTAAACCATAACCTTTTTAAAGAGGGGGTATTATGCTCAGTGACTTTTTGGAGCTTTCTACCACGTTACAACATTGTTCCGTCATCAAAAACATGTCTGAAGAAGTTTTAGAGTCCCCCATGCATGTTTGAGTAATTTAGCGATCTCTCCTGGGTGCTATTCAAACCATCCTTGCTGTAAGATTCTGTACAATGCTCCATGCACAAGTCTATGTCACCCATGCCAACCAAGAAGGAGCGTTAAAAACTAAAACCACACTTGGTAATGTTACGACATTGTTTTCAGTGAGTATAGCATTATCAACACAATAAAAGTAACATGGTGACCTAAATTTGTTATGTGTTTGCAGTTAATACCCCAGAAAAGTCAAATACCCCCTCTTTAACATCAGTAGCATTGCATTTGTTGAAGAGTTTGGTTCCATGTATTGTAACAGTCCATGAGAATACTGACATGACTTGACATTGAAAAACTACAACATCTTGGTTATTGTTCCATCCCCACTAAAATACCACGATTAAAAGTCCAATAAATGCATTGTTTTGTGAAGAAAATAAAATTCAACCATCTCAAACAAGAAGCCCGAAAATAACAGTGGTTTTGAACAGAATTTTTGCATGTTACATACTTGAAAATCCTGCCCAAAAGTAACACAAATGTGCAAATAATAAAGATTTGAGCCCTCTCCTCTGCAGGCAGCGTGGCACAGACCAGTGTTTAATCCAACTGGAAAATGTGAAGGCAATTTCAAAATAAAAGCACTTTTGGACCAGTTTTAGGCACAATAAAAGTCAAATATTAAAAATAAAATGTAATTCATTATAAAATACAAACTGATATGGGGTAAAACCTGTAGTGGCTTGTGTATATTGTATTAAATACACAATGAGGAGATTTTATGTTAAACTGTAATTGGCCTCTATCCAAATATTGTGTTTATTTTAAAGCGTGAAATGAATACTAACGGGATTTGGTAAAAAGGATTGACTGTGGATAGCTGTAAAAGTATCAGTCAGTCTTCTCTTAAAGCCACAATCTGTAAACTTATGTGTTATTTTCATACTGGATGTGTTTATTGCACTGACAAACTTGGAAAAACATGAATCTTTACTGTGAGCAGGCTTGCATCTCCACAAAACCGACTCTTAATTGGCATAGAGGAGGGCTTCTTCTTGCTTGTTTCCATGGAAATGTTCCTTTGGCTATAATCTTCCACAGTATGGCTTAAAATCTGTCCATCTTCTCAAATATGGTTTTAACTTTCTCTAATCTGGCCAAGATTTTAAAAATTTCTATCAGGTTATTCATCTTGTTTTCAGATTTATGATTGACTTACTAGTTCTGAGATGCTTTGTTCTAGTCTAGAGTTAATTTATTTTAAGAGAACTTGTCAAGTCAAATGATCTTGCTGCATGGGCAAATAATTTCAGTACTTTTAAGTTATTTTCTGATAGATTGAAGTGTTTTGGGTTTTTTTATCTTAAATTTTGGGCAAACTTGCTTACTTTGCAGTGTAAGCCTTTGTTTTCTTTGTAAGCACTGAACAAAATCAATCAAATAAAATAAATGAATTACTTATTTCCACAAAGTTACCGTGTTTTTCGCACTATTAGGCGCTTTGGATTATAAGGCGCACTGTCACTATTTTCAGACTTTTTTCACAAATAAGTGAGCACCAAAGTTTAAGGGAAACACAACAGTGTGATGGGTGAGTGGTTTTGTTTGTGGCGTTCACGGTGACTCTGGGCTTTGTTCAGTTGTGGCGTGTAGGGAGGGTGCTGTCTGGGACCAACGGATTGTCGGCGTGTTCGCAGTGACTCGGTTGTTCAGTTGTGTCTAGAAGTGGCACATTGCACTTGCTTTTTCGGTTCGTTCCTCCGTTCCTTTCCTCGTCGGCGTGGAGTGACGAGTGTGTCTGCGGATGTGTTTGGCTGTGTGTAGTTTAATGAAGTTGTGCTGGGACACCTGAGTTAATTTGTGTATAGGGCGCTCTGGATTGTGAGACACGCAGTTGTTTTGATGGGGTTGGAGACTTATGAGCGTGCCCCATAGTGCGGAAAATACGGTACACACTATACCTTTAAAAGTTCTTCTACTACTGAGAGTATTATTAGCTTGTATTTGGGCCATGTTCCAGGATAGAAAAAATTAAAAGTGTCATTTGTCAAATTAAAAACATCTGATTGCACATCACCACTTTTAAAAACCAGTCTGTGCCGTTTCGAGGCCTGGAGCAGAGAGCTGGAGTGACTCCCCTCTCACTTAAACCTGTCCTAACATAGAGTCCTCCTCAGAAACGTCTGGAGCCGCCAACTGTTCCTCCTCTCAGTAAGGAGGTTGTGGGTTCGACTCCTGCTCTCTCTGTTGGAGGTTGTGGGTTAGATCTCTCTGAGGCAGGGGGAGAGGTCTGGACTCAGAGCACTTTCTGTAGAATGGCGTTGGGCACCTCCAGCGTCTCGTCCCGAACCAGAACGATGTCGTAATGATCCAGGTATTTGTCCAGCCGCTCCTCCACCTGCACACACATTGTCCACATTAACGTGAGACATTTCAATACAGTTTAAGTGCATGTGACAGGTCAGACTACACATTTCACTTAAACAGTTAACATCATTAGATTTAACACTTTATTACTTTTAAATTTTGGTTACATTTATACTTTACCTTCTGTTTAGACACGGGAAGCAGATAATATAAGGTAATTTCATAATTGTTACCTAGCAACCATAATGTCAAGAAGGGGAAAAATGTGTCTAAATTACACAAAAGTTCTGATTTGATAAATAAAAATAAATGACAGCACTTATTTAGTTAAATGAAGGTTAAAACAGGCTGAAAAATTATTCCTTGTGTGTAAATTGTCTCTGCATTTTGGATGGAATTTTCATAGTCTCCAAGTATTCTGTTTAAGAACTCATTAATACTTTCTGAATTTTTGTACTTTTCTTCACAACTTTCCTTCACAAACTGCCACTTAACTGATGTAAAATGAAATACTGACCACAGGTATGATCCACCAAACCGAGTCAGAATGAGAGAAACATGAGAAGCTGTCTTATACAGGTTCACGTGAGCTTGTTGTTACCTTGTCATTGAGGAAGCCGATCTTGAGGATGTTCTCGACATTGGCCACTCCGTCGGCCATGCTCAGGTCTCCCAGAGAGTCTCCCATCAGGATGATGTTACAGTTCTCTTTTAACTGTTTAAAATACTCAGTGTTCCTCAAAGCGCCGTCATGTTTGTTATAGACGTGGATGAGCTCTCCTTTAAAGCCCCGGATCACACCCTGAACACAAACAAGACAAGAGGTTAATCTGTCAGGTTTAGTCCTGGTTTAGACCTGGTTTAGGCCTGGTTTAGACCTGGTTTAGACCTGGTTTAGTCCTGGTTTAGTCCTTGTTTAGACCTGGTTTAGACCTGGTTTAGTCCTGGTTTAGTCCTGGTTTAGTCCTGGTTTAGTCCTTGTTTAGTCCTGGTTTAGTCCTTGTTTAGAACTGATTTAGTCCTTTTTTTAGTCCTTTTTTTAGTCCTTGTTTAGTCCTTGTTTAGTCCTGGTTTAGTCCTGGTTTAGTCCTTGTTTAGAACTGATTTAGTCCTGGTTTAGTCCTTGTTTAGACCTGGTTTAGTCCTTTTTTTAGTCCTGGTTTAGTCATTTTTTAGTCCTTGTTTAGTCCATGAGTGTCCTCCATGCGTCTCATCATGCCATGTTACTGTGGCAGAGTGGTTATCCTGTGTCCTCCTCTCAGTAAGGAGGTTGTGGGTTAGACTCCTGGCCTCTCTGAGTGTGTTTGTCCTCCCTGTGTTAAAGTCTAGGCACATACCCATAACACATAAAGGCTTCTGCCCGTCCTCTTGTTGTTCTGTCTGTATTTTGGTCTGTCTCCTCAGAGGAGACATGTGGAATCTTGGCACTGGAGCTGTACATGAGCACAGCCTTGACATTCGAAACATGTGAAAGTATAAATGCAGTGAGGGTTACTACTGCTTGGAACGTACGGATCTGTTTATGTAAGTGGAGCAGAAAATGAGCCTTTACTGTGGCAGAGTGGTTGACCTTGTCTCCTCCTCTCAGTAAGAAGGTTGTGGGTTGGATTCCACAGTGGTTTGACTCACGTTGTCGTCGAAGTCCATGAAGTTGGAGACCACTTTGACGTTTGGTAGATAAACACCGGACTGTCTGAGGATCTCCTCCAGGACGTCTCCCAAACCAGCCGAGAAAATGAACACAGGGACATTGTGCTGCTGCAGGCGGTCGAAGAACTGCTCGTATCCGTCTCTGCAAAATATAGAATACAACTTAATACAAGTAAATATTAATTAGCAGCATTAACAAGTGAATAGTGCGGCCTCACCTGAGCGCAGCGTCAGAGTCTCGCACGGCTTCAGGCAGTTTGTCCTTCTGTAACCTCTGCTCCACCAGAAGAGAGTGAGACTTAAAGTACCTAAACACACACAGAGTTAGATGTAAAGGAGACCTATAGTGCATTTGTGTGCCCTATAGTTATAGTCTATGACACCTTGGGGTCTGGTCAAGCGGTAACGGAGGGAAACGGGCAGATTTTTTATATTCAAATGTCTCTTATTCAGAAACTAGAGGGACTATTGAAATAAGTAAAGTATCAGAATGTAGGAAAGAGTTACACTCCAACAGGGTCAAGTTAAACCTGTGATATTCTTTCAAGTTGTTGACAAAAAATTTAAAAACTCATGTCGGTAACGGAGGGAATGAAATATGCAGCACTTTTTGGGCAATAAATCCAAACAGTGATAACTCTTGGTTCTCACTTCCATATCCTTAACAAACTGGTTTGAATATTTGCTTCATATAGTTTTCTACCATATGGTACAAGATTAGGTTGAAAAACCTCTTACTTTTTGAGTCATAAGATTTTTTATTAAGAAAGGTCATGGTAACGGAGGGAAAAGTAACGGAGGGAAAACTGTGCAAACAAGTAGAAGGTGCAGGATTTTGCATAATTTGTCAGCTTTTTTCTTCCGAATACTTTAATATTACTTCAGAATGAAAGGAAACTATTTCTATAAAATATGTCAGTCCTTCCAAGCAAATTTTTATCATTTTAAATACATTGTCTTTGAAATTTGGGAAATAATTTTTGTTCCATGTTTCATACATGGTCTGTTTAAAACGTATGAAACTTTAGAACCAAAAATGGTACAGAAAAAAGGTCAACAGTTTCATAAACTAGAGTACATATGTATCTGTTCAATACATTTTTATATCAGATACATTAACTTGAATTTTTGGCCTTGCTGTTTACTTCTGCTTGACCGGGCCCCTGGATCATAATTTAAGTTATAATTTAAAATAAGAACAAGTCCACAGAGTTTCACGTTATTATACTGTGGTGCCCAGAGGGAGATGATGTGGCTGTAAATTTCATCAGTGCCATATGCTATGGGCTCCTCCTATGGATAGCTGTACATCACACTTTGTATCAAAATAACTACGAAGTATTCCCGAATCCTACACGTGTCAGAGATTAAGAAAATGAAATTGTAGAAATAAGTTAGTTCAGAGCAATGGGCACATACCAGTGGCAGTGAAAATGGGGGTTCGTTAATAGTGCCTTAAATGTAAGAGATTAAAGATTGCTCAAATATGCAAAATACTAAAATACAACTTCAAGAGAGTACATGGTGAGAGGAAACAATTAACACATGGTAAAAGCTCTGAAAAGTAAATTTTCAGAATTGTTGAACCAGTGAATTTATATTAAAAAAAACAGGTCTACTAAGAAAAACCAACATTGCTGCATTGCATTTACGCCCTACACTTAGAGATGACAGAGGTGTGACTGGCCCTCTCCTGTGTGTAGCGCCCCCTGGTGGGTGTGTCCGTACCATTCGACCATAAAGGGGTACTTCTCCTCCATGGTGAGCTGGGGGTCAATCTCGATGGGGTAATACTGATTCTTCAGCTGCACCAGCTTTTGTCGGCACTCGTCTGTCACCAGCTTCGAGTAGTCAATGATATCTGCACACACCAAGAATTAGTCCAGATTTAGTCCTGGTTCGGCCTGCTGTCATCGTTCAGACCTGGTTAGGTCCTGGTTTAGTCCTGGTCAAGTCCTGGTTTCTTACTGTGACAGGTGGGACAGCGTTTTCCGTTGACTTGGAACTTGGATAACGTCATGTCGAAGTCTGTGATGATCTGAGGAGTACAGAATAAATAACTTAACAGGGTGAAAAGAAGTTGTTGTAGTTTATTAGCCCCTCCCTTTTGTGTCACACCTGTAGTTTATTAGCCCCCTCCCCCTTGTGTCTCACCTGTAGTTTCTTAGCCCCTCCCCTATGTGTCTCACCAGTAGTTTCTTAGTCCCTCCCCCCGTGCCTCACCTGTAGTTTATTAGCCCCTCCCCTTTGTGTCTCATCTGTAGCTTATCAGTCCCTCCCCCTTGTGTCACACCTGTAGTTTATTAGCCCCTCCCCTTTGTGTCTCATCTGTAGCTTATCAGCCCCTCCCCTTTGTCTCATCTGTAGCTTATCAGCCCCTCCCCTTTGTGTCACACCTGTAGTTTATTAGCCCCTCCCCTTTGTGTCTCATCTGTAGCTTATCAGCCCCTCCCCCTTGTGTCTCACCTGTAGTCTATTAGCCCCTCCCCTTTGTGTCTCATCTGTAGCTTATCAGCCCCTCCCCCTTGTGTCTCATCTGTAGTTTATTAGCCCCTCCCCTTTGTGTCTCATCTGTAGCTTATCAGCCCCTCCCCCTTGTGTCTCACCTGTAGTTTATTAGCCCCTCCCCCTTGTGTCTCACCTGTAGCTTGTTGGCTCCGCCCTTGATGAGGCCACAGATGATCTGCTCCACTCTCTCCGGGTCCTTCATGTGAACCGTGGACTTCTCAAACTGTGGCATCTGCACAAAAACAGCACAGACATGGCACTGCTCAGACACGATTCGATATTCAGGTATATGCCCAGATAATCCTCCATCTTGTATGTGTCGATAGTAGAGCCCGACCAATATGGATTTTGCTGTGGCCGATATGAAACCGATATAATGGGAGTTGGAGCTGCCGATAGCCGATATAATCACCGATATATTTAGTGATGTAAAAATTCACTATAAATGTTGAATTGTTTAAAAAACTTAGGTTTGGCTCTGGTGGATTTTAAATTGGGTTTATTTAGGCAACATTTATTGTTATTCTGCCTCTTTACATCATATTTACAGACAGTAGGTTGGTTTAATGGCATTTTTGCATCACATTCTAGACACTAGTGATGGGTATTCCAGTTCTTTTTAGAGAACCGGCTCTTTTGGCTCAGCTCACTAAAAGCTGCTGGTTCTTTTGGCTCCCAAGCGACTCTTCAGATTGTTTTGTTGCAAGCAGGACTAAAGCAGGACTAAAGCAGGACTGAATCAGGACTGAACGAGGTCTAAACCAGGACTGAAAAAGGACTAAACCGGGACTTATTTATTTTATGCTAAACTACAGCCAAATATGCTCTTTTTTTTATCCTATGCACACGCAAATTTCTCAAAGTTTCGTTTTCAGCCGCTGCTGCTGTCAAACCACGAGTCTGCACGCGGCGTGAAGAGAAAAAAAAGTGAGAGAAAGAGAAAACACGGCTCCCAGTAAGGATCAGGCTCCCGTCGTTCGCTTCAAAGAGTCGGCTCTAAGAGTCATTTCGTTCGCGACCGACCCATAACTAGTAAAGAAACAATCGCTATTAGCCTTTAGCCGTAAATACGTGCGCGCCGCGGTAATTAATTATATGCGCAAATGTCATAATTCACACGTCTATTCACAGCTCATTTACATATCAATGCAGGTCCAGTAACAAATATAAGGCCAATGTAGTCACTTTACAATATGCCAATAGAAAACAGCCTGTTTATGTGCGGGAGCTACAGCAGCTAACCCATAACAAATCACCAAAACTAGCTTCAAAGTCGACATATTTCCAACACTCACCGCTCACACAGGCTCCTCCTCACATCACAAATCTGCACTAATAAATGTCCTTTTAATCCAGACTCAAACTGATTGTCCGTAAAAAGAATATAATCTCAGTGTTGCGCACCGCTGCGGGTGTAAACAAACACACGTGAATGACGCGACTCTGTGGTGTGTTCAGGGACAGTACGGAAACGCACAGACAAATGACTCCGTAGATAAATACTGATGCGGAGCCACATATTAGGACATTTATCTGTCTGTAAATTGGATTAAATGAACTGAATGTAGAGAGTCTAAGATTTTTAACGATGTATCACATGCTCACGTGAAATATCGGCCCCTATCAGCAAGCATATCGGCCAATAGCCGATATGCCTCCAGGTGCCCATATCAGCCGATAATATCGGCCAACCGATATATCGGTCGGGCTCTAGTCGATAGTTTTGCATTTTTTATTGGTACAACATGTTATGCAAATACAAATAAATAGTAGTAGTTCCACTTTCTGCTTAGAGTCAATTAAAAGAAATGGTTAAAGAGGATAATTTTAATTCTATGGCATATTAACCGCTAACACATGACATATTCAGATCACCATGTTACCTTTTATTGTATTTGAAAACTCAATATTCACTGAAAACAACACATCGCTCTGAGTCTGCCCTCCATGCTAAGTCACTCCCCCTTCAGAGCGACCCAATACAATCAGTGTGCATCCCACTAATGAAACTACTGCACATCGCAGCAAGGTTTGTCAAGTTGCTGTGTACATATTTACATATGTACATATTCTCCTCTCAAACAGAAAACACTCTGTTCCAACCTGTGATGTCATGTGGCAATACAGGAATTATGTTTTTAAACTCCATACACCTTCACTACAATCATTTGGATAAGTTCAGTCCTGGAATTGTGTCAGGATAAATACTAGGCTCAGCTATTTGATATAACCACGGCTATAGAATATTTCTGTCGAGAGGTCATGTGACGATCGGGGCTCTGATCACAGCTGTGAGACTCAGAGATATATGTCAAGACAAATGAATGATATTCCAATCTACCTAATAGCAAACTAACTAAATAGGACAAGAACTACTGATGGGATGATGTCATGACTTGTTACCCAGATATCACCCCGGATGGAGTCTGATTGGACTGTGCAGCATGCCAAGAGGCCTGGCTGATCTGTGCACCAATGAAAAAGTGCACAGATGACTAGAAGACTTAACCACAGTCGCCTCCCACTATAGTTTGTGTATAAAAGTCACTGTATAGGCATAAATATTGAGTCTCTGCATGGGAATGTCGACACAATCTCCTTGTAAAAGTAAATTACCGGTAGCTGGATTTTATTTCTGTTTCAGGTGTATTCTTTATCTGAGTAAAAATTAACGAACACAAGAGGAAAAGTTGAAAAGCTGTTTTCCTCAGCAACTGCCAGTTTCTACTGATTTAACGATAAAAGGTAGCTGTGGACCTTTAAAGTACAAAATATATACAACATGTAAGGTTTCTTTTTGCACTGTAAACCTCCTAGCCTGATTCATCAGGAGGTTTCACTTTGTGGAAACGGGTACTTTTTTAAAATTTAACCAATCACTGCTATTTGGTCGTGATGTATGCAATGCACCAAATCCCATAGGAAGAAGGGCAATAACGTCTTTCCCCTTGATAAAATTCACCATACATTCTCTTTGTTCCGGCTTTAAATCCTCGATCTCGAGAATCGTTGACAACACAGAATGTCTGTCTTCGTCTACATCCATCTTGACCACTTTGTTTATTGTTGTGCTCTTCCACACAAGGGACTCAGACAGGCACTTGAGTTTGATGTTATGGCTTCACAGCTCTCTGCTAATTGGCCAGTGCATGGTTTACAACTTCTGGGGTTCTTGCAAACCGTCTAGTGTATTCTGATTCCTGACCTAGTCGCTGGAGAGAACTGAAATTGAGCGTAGGCACTAGGTGGCACCAGCCTGGTTATAAAACTCCTGCATTCCTCAGAAATGCTATAGTTACAGTTAAAATGCCGTTGGGAGGTTTGTCTGGCAGGAGGGAGCATTCCTCTGAGCAGGAGAGCTGTGTTGAAACAGGATCTGAGCTCTTACTTAACTCAACTCATTTAAAGCCCTCTCCCCCCACTCCCCCCTCACCCGGTACAACACCGCACAACTGAACAACAACCGCACCACCTCCTCACGCACAACTCACAGCGTAACCAGACCAATGACAAAACATGTGGATATGACAGAGGGGAGCCGAGTGACAACATCTCTTCTAGGGTTGTCAAAAGTAATAGAACTTGCATTGAAAGTAGATGTGAGCAGGTATCGATACTCAAAAAGTCCCAGTCACACAGGAAACAGAAATGAACCTTTCCTGGATGTCTTTAGAATGACCTTGTATCAGAAGAGCACACAGACTAGTATACTATTTCCATTAGGATGGTCCATCAATGCATGGTCAAAACTTAAGTTTCAGATCACCTCGATTCGAACTCTGCATTAGGTTTTAGCATTCAAAAGATGATTTGAAAGAAAAAGGAGATGTTTCACAGGTCGCTCAAGCTGCATAAAGTTTCCTGGAAATTGACTAATTTTAAATTTTCAAGTAGACTGACCGAAGACTTACTGGTCAGTCTTCGTTCCTACTCTCACCTATGGTCATGAGCTCTGGGTAGTGACCGAAAGGACGAGATCACAGATACAAGCGCTCGAAATGAGTTTCCTCCGCAGGGTGGCTGGGCGCTCCCTTAGAGATAGGGTGAGGAGCTCAGTCACACGGGAGGAGCTCGGAGTAGAACCGCTGCTCCCCCACGTCGAGAGGAGCCAGTTGAGGTGGCTTGGGCATCTGTTCCGGATGCCTCCTGGGCGCCTCCCTCGGGAGGTGTTCCGGGCATGTCCCACCGGGAGGAGGACCCCGGGGAAGACCCAGGACACGCTGGAGGGACTATGTCTCTGGGCTGGCCTGGAGGAGCTGGAGGACGTGTCTGGGGTGAAGGAAGTCTGGGAGTCCCTGCTTAGACTGCTGCCCCTGCGACCCGACCCCAGATAAGCGGACGAAAATGGATGGATGGATGGATAAATTTTCAAGTAACATTTTATGGACTTTATGGATTTTCTAAGCAACTTTTTATGGATTTCTAAGTAATTTTTAATGTCAGTTTCAGTTTGTATTTTCAGAATAAAATGAGAACTTATTCAAATACTCATTTATTTGGTTCTGTGTTGTAGTATGTAATTTTCAAGTGTCTTAAGCAACCTCTAAATATTACTGTAATTAATTTGCATAAAATTTGAACCCAAATATTTTGGCCAGATATGGAACCAAATGCAGGGTTCTAATCTAGAGAATCTGAAAAAAAAAAAATAAATAATAATAAAAATAATAATAATAAAAATAAGCCACCCTAACACCCATGGACCACTATGAAACCTACTGGAGCACTGAGGGATTACACACATATCAGCAGTGTTGGGAAGGTGACTTTTAAAATGTATTCCCCTACAGATTACAGATTACATACCCCAAAATGTAGTTTGTAACAGAATCTATTAAATTATTTAAAGTGAGTAACATAATCTGAATACTTTGAATTACCTGATTTGTTGTAGAGCAGCACAGACTAGGAAATCTTCACATAAGATACTTTGTTTGCTAAAAGAAAATAAAAAGGCCAAGTCTTTTAAAAAATATTACTGATAGAAGAGGAGGAGACACGGTCCGCGCAGCACAGTTAAGTCCTGTTAAATCCTGTTTTAGACCTGGTTTAGTCCTGCTTTAGTCCTGGTTTAGACCTAGTTTAAACCTGGTCTTAGACCTGGGTTTAGACCTGATTTAGACCTGGTTTAGACCTGGTTTAGACCTGGTTTAGACCTGGTTTAGACCTAGTTTTAGTCCTGGTTTCATTGTGGTTTAGTCCTGGTTTTAGTCCTTGTTTAGTCCTGGTTTT